ATAGTTGATGGTAATACTTTATCTATTACTGAAATTGGCGACATAAGTTCTGATTTTCGGGACGTGATAGTATCGCCTGGACTTGCATCTAATTTATCATTTATTGGTCAATTGGTAGATAAAAATTATGATGTTAACTTTTCTCGTGATGTTGCCTTGTGCAGGAGCATGTATCGGGAAAGGTGACCGCGAAGGGGCCTAAAATGGGAAGTCTGTTTCCACTCCAGTTTATTTCTAATCATATATCTCTTGCTTGTAATAATGTTTTAAACTCTTATGAGGATTAACATAGAAAATTAGGTCATCTAAACTCTTCTGTTTTGTTCCATTTATTTAAAAATGGTTTGTTGGTAAATAAAAATGTTTCTAATGCCTCTATTTCATGTTCTGTTTTCAAATTGGCTAAGAGTAAAACACTTCCTTTTCTGTCTGGTGCTTATCGTGCTTCCACTTGTTTTGAAATGATTCAATGTAATGTATGGGGTATGTCTCCTGTAGTTTCTCATTCTCACTATAAATATTTTGTTACATTTATTGATGATTATAGTCGCTTTGTTTGGATATATTTCCTTCAGTCTAAATCTGAAGTGTTTTCTATGTTTAAGAAATTTTTGACATATGTTGAAACTCAATTTCAAGCAAGTGTGAAAAATTTTCGCTCTGACTATGGTGGTGAGTACATGTCTCACACGTTTCAAGAATACCTTCAACAAAAGGCATCTTGTCGCAAAGATCTTGTCCCAATACCCCTCAACAAAATGGTATGGCAGAACGTAAGAATCGTCATTTGCTTGATGTAACACGCACATTGCTTCTCCAAGCTTCTGTACCATCCCGATTTTGGATAGAGGCTCTTTCCAAAACTATCTTCTTGATCAATCGTCTTCCTTCTATGGTTATTAAACTTGATTCTCCTTTCTTTCGTCTTTTTAAAATTCATCCTGATTATAGTGCTTTACATACTTTTGGGTGTGTGTGTTTTGTTCACTTACCTCCTTTTGAAAGGCATAAGCTTGGAGCACAATCCGTTCAATGTGCATTTATGAGATATTGTCACTTTCATAAGGGATTTGTGTGTTATGATGTCACTAACCATCATTTTCGTATTTATAGAAATGTGACATTTTTTTATAATCAATTTATGTTTCCCTGTGTTTCTCCTGCCATTAATGATATTATTAATCTTACTAAGTTTTCTATTATGCCTCAATCTATAGAAAGTTATAAGCTAAGTCATGTACATGTCAGAAAACACAGGCTGCAGGTTCCCACACCCCTTCCCGACACTGAACTATCACCTGATCCTGTACCGGCTAACTCACGATGTTCTGGTCGAATATCTCGCGCACCAGATAGATATTCACCAAACATGTATCATTTCTCACATACTTCTCTGACTGTCACACTCTCTAGCATATTTATTCCTACTTGTTACTCACAGGCTGTTAAGGAGGTGCAATGGATAAAAGCAATGAATGAAGAGCTTCAAGCTCTTCAAGAGAGTTTCACATGGAATATTGTCTCTTGCCCTCTTGATGTAAAACCTATAGGTTGCAAATGGGTATATTCTGTAAAATTGAATTCTGATGGGTCTCTCAATCGTTACAAGGCTCGTTTGGTTGCATTAGGAAACAAGCAGGAATATGGAATTGATTATGATGAGACATTTGCACTGGTTGCCAAAATGACAATTGTCCACGTGATCATCTCTATAGTTGCTTCTAACGGGTGGACTCTACATCAAATGGATGTGAAGAATGCTTTTCTTCACGGTGACCTGACAGAAGATATTTATATGACTCCACCTCAAGGCTTATTCTCTTCATCTAAAGGCGTGTGTAAGCTTAAATGCTCCTTATATGGTTTGAAACAGGCACCTAGAGCATGGTACGAAAAATTTCACTCCACTATACTTGGATTCTCCTTTACTCAGAGTCAGGTATGATTCATCTTTATTTATTCATAGCACATCTGCGGGTATTGTTCTGCTTCTTTTGTATGTTGATGATATGGTTATTACTGGTTCGGATCCTGCTTCTATTCAGCGACTTAAGCAACATTTACAAGCCTTATTTCACATGAAAGATATGGGTAATCTACATTATTTTCTCGGTCTTGAGGTTCATTCTACATCCAAGGGCATCTTTCTCAATCAACATAGGTATGCTACAAATTTTATTTCTATGGTCGGTCTCGAATCGGCTAATTCGGTAGATACTCCTCTTGAGGTTAATGTTAAATATCATCGTGATGATGGTGATCTTTTGCCTGATCCCTTATTATATTGACAACTTGTGGGTAGCCTCAACTACTTAACTATTACTCGCTCTGACATATCTTTTGTTGTTCAACAAGTAAGTCAATTCATGCATTCTCCTTGCCATCTTCACTTGGCTGCGATTCGTCGTATAATTCGCTACTTAAAGGGAACCTCTCACCGCGGATTATTCTTTTCCACTAGAATTTCTCTTCAGTTGAGTGCTTATAGTGATGTTGATTGGGCAGGGTGTCCTGATACTCGTTGATCTGTTATCGACTAGTGCATGTTTCTCGGTTCTTTATTGATCTCTTAGAAAAGTAAGAAGCAAGTAAGAGTTTCTAAATCTTCTACTGAATCAGAGTATCGTGCCATGTTTGCTGCTTATTCAGAAATACTTTGGCTTCGTGGTCTGTTGGATGAACTTGGATTTCTCCAAACAAAGCCAACTTCCCTTTATGCTGACAATACAAGTGTCATTCACATTGTTGCAAATCCTGTTTTTCATGAACGCACTAAATATATCGAAGTTGATTGTCATTCAATACTCACTTCCTCACGTCAATACTCAGTTGCAGGTTACAAATATTCTTACCAAGGTTGTTCCACGCCCACAACATCAGTTTCTTGTTAGCAAATTGATGCTCCTTGACCAGCCGCATCAATTTGAAGGGGGATGTTAATCGGGAAATAATCAAACACATTTATTGTGAATGATTTACATTCATAGAATAAGAAATTAGTTATTATGAGTTGTAATTAGTCATTATGAATTGTAATTACCAGTAATTACCAGTAATTACCGACACTATTATATATAGTATCAAATACAATGAGAAAGACATCAAGTCAGAATTTGTAACATCTTCAACCATTAATCATAGTGTCTATACGATTTATGTGCACTCAATTTTCCACCAAGAGTGTTACATAAGTGTACATGATTGTGATTATATCTTCTTTTTTACTATGTGAATATTATTATCTAGAGATCAAACCCTTATTACTTCAACATCTATCTCTTTTTCTCAGTTCCCTTCAAAATCTTATCTTTCAACAAACTTTTTCACTTAATAAATTGATGTTTCTCTTTTTGGTAAAAAAAATATAATGCAGGACGAAAAAAAGTGTAGGAGGATTAAAATAAAATAACTGTGAACCTAAAATTAAGCATGCCAACATGATACTCAAAGGTAACTTCAATGCATATAAGAGTTGACAATCTCAAAACTTTCCTTAGGCCCATGATCAAATAAGAACTTTGCGCATATTCACAATGTTTCATCTACCGAGAACCATTGAATTAGCATTATATTAGCAATGAATATTGATTAAGTAATTGATATGAAGTTGGGGACACTAAAATATAGTCATCATAATGTACTAATTGATATTGATGCCAAAACAAGAAGATTTCTCTTGCCTCCAGTTGATCCACCGAAGTCAGACAAGTTCAAAGACTGCATGGTTTGCAGAGATGCTGTTTATCCATGTGATGCCAAGTTAAAAATATAGGGATGAGTTGGATGTGAATCAAATCAACATGATATAATTGCTTAAGATATACCTAACTACATATTTTTCTTGATCAAATATTCAAAGTAAATGTAGGGATGGCAAAAAAATCCGTATCCGCGGATAATATCCGTTACGGATATGAGATGAATAATTTAATGAATATCTGTAGATAAAATAAATGGATATTTAGATACCTGTTATTTAATGGATATGGATACAGAATTAATAATATTCATATCCACGGATATCCGTATCCGTTAATTAATTATAAAAATTATTTATATATTTATATATTTTACTAAGTCTTATCATCTTCCAAAAGAATTTGGTTTTTTTTTTTTTTACGTTTTCTTTAAAAAAAAATTATATTCCATAATATATTATAAATCTTACTTTTCCATTTCATAATTAATTTATTTTATATGATCATTTCTCTTCAGTATTATATGCTATGATGAATATTATTTTGGTTAAAAATTATGGATATTCTATATAGATGTTATTATGTTTTGGTGAAAAAGACAAATATTAATATGATGAAATTTTGTTATTAAATTGTATAAATGTTATATGATGATAATTTTTTTGTGTCTTTAAAAAAAACTGAAAAAATATTTTTTTAAAAAATAATTTTAGAATAAAATATTATCCACGGATATATGTAAATATCCGCGGGTATCTTAAAACCTGTGGATTACCCGTTTAGCAGATATCCGCATGAATATGGAGTGGATATGGATATCATATTTATCTAACGAAACGGACGGATATCATATTATCCGTCCCCATGGATATCCATTTACATCCCTAAGTAAATGGTTTTTAATCAAAGTTGAGATCTCACATCTGTTAACCATGAAGTGGTTTAATTTTTTTAAGTTGGACACGAAATGAATGAGATGCATAAAAAAGACATACATCGGTGATCATGAAAATTGGGTTGGTCTCTTTTTCATTCATCCGTTTATAGCTTTATTGTATTGCATTGAAACAATAAGTAATGCAGTTCTTGTCTCTTCAATATGTTCTGTTTTAGGCAGACAACTTGATAGACTAAAAGATAATCATGCTACAAAACAGCATCTTCTCATGTCAACCAACAAAATATACATTTACAATGCATGCATATTGCATTTCTATGTATGAAGATATAAAGCCAACCAAAACTCAAGTTTTAAAGTCTTGTATATTAACACCTACTAACCTATTGTTTTCTGAGAAAAAAATGGCAGTCATCGAAACAAACACAAAGAGCTCTCTGCATCTTCGCAGCAACAGCTTACCTTCCACACCTCACCCTCTCGTATCACAATTTGAGGACAATTTGCAAAGATTGAAGAGTTCTGAAGGCACCTCTTCGGCGTCATCATCCTTGGTATGCAACAAACTTAATGGCACACAGGATTTGCAAGACTGCATTGATAAGTTGCTTCAACTGTCAATTGAACAACAAGCCTTATTACAAGAGTGCAGTGAAAAATGGGTTGATGTCTTTACTAGAAGGATCACTTAGGATATTGGATATCTGTAGTATAGCTAAGGATTTCCTTTTGCTATCAATCGAAAGCAACCATGAAATACAATCAATAATCAGAAGAAGGAGAGCCAATGAAACTGGACTCACATGTGCAAAATACATGGCTTTTAGGAAGAACGTGAAGAAGCAAATCAGAAAGGTGTTGGTAAATTTGAGGTCAATGAAGAATGATTTGATTTCTTCTTCCTCAAACAAGAAAGAAAATAACTCTTCACCTATGCTTCAATTCTTGAAAGAAGCCGAAGCAGTCACCCTAAGCTCACTAGAACATTTGTTTCTATTTATCTCTGATCCAAAAGGACACTCAAAGAACGGAAGATGGTCAGCAATATCCAAGTTGATGCATTCTAAAAGAGTTGTTTGTGATTCTCAAGAATCAGACACAAATGAATTTGAGAAGGTGGATGCAGCTTCGAAGTCTCTCATCAGCAACAAGCTTTCATGTACTGAAAATGTTCAAAGTCATTTGGAAGATTTGGAGATATGCATTCAAGATCTAGAAATAGGAGTTGAACGCATTTCAAGAAAATTAATTAAAAATAGAGTTTCACTTCTTAACATATTCAACCACTAATCATAGTGTCTATATGATTTGTGTGCACTCAATTTTCCACCATGAGTGTTACATACTTGCATATCTGTAGATGAATGTGAATAATATATATCTTATGATTTGTGTGCACTCAATTTTCCCCCATGCATTATATTAATAATTGATTAAAAAATAGTTATTTATTCAAAGTCATTTTCACTTCTGGAGTCAGAGAAGAAGTAAAGCAACAGTTATTTATTCAGTCACCTATGCAAATTAAGTATTCCCACATAACAATCAAGGTCAATTTTAATGCATATCTTAGTTGCTAATCTCAAAACTTCCATTAGGTTTATGATTAAATAAAAACCGCAGACATGTTCTTAAGTTACCTATGCTAATCATAGCGATAAATAAGCGAGTTGTGTTTCATATACTGAGGTCACATAATCGTATAGTCATCATCAACAATCTCCCTATTACACCAGTTTGAGCATGTCTGTAGCAGAAAGATTAGTACCAAAAGAGCATACTGTAGCATCTTTGAATCCGAGTATATATTATGCGGAAGCTTAGGCTACTACAAACAGATATGTTTTACATACAATGCAAACTAATTGAAATGATTAAATGACCATGATTCAATAACATTAAAAAAAAACAGAAAAAATTGAAACAAATTAAATTCAAGTTTATGTGAATTTCACCAAAGTAAAAATAAAATGATGATGTTATCTAAGGCTTATAAATTTCGACAGCCAATTACAATTATTATATTTAAGGTGAAGCAGTGGCATTAAGCAATCCATAAAGAACATAAAATTAAAGGAGCTCAGAGATATTTTTTCATCAAAAAAATAAAACTAATTAATTGCACCAGCCGGGAATCGAACCCGGGTCTGTACCGTGGCAGGGTACTATTCTACCACTAGACCACTGGTGCTTGATGTTACAATGTGTACAAGTTTGTATCTTTATAGTTATATGCCTTGCTATTAAATAAGTTGTTTGGAGATGAAGTATGGACCGTGTACCATACAAATTTTACAACTCTTCCATAACTTGATGTAATGTGATATTATAGCCAAATTGGTCGGAAGAAAGATTTGATGATCAATTTCACTAATGAAAGAAACTTTTGTGGTTTTTTGTATTTTTGATATTATGAGATTATCCTAGCAACACCTCACAAATGCAAACTAGCGGATGAGTTTTGGACAGGTTCTACATATTTCTATAATAATTCAAAGTAGCAAGTATGAGGGTTTTCTTTTCCTATAAAAAAGATAGAGTTGTTGTCGCGTATAATTGAACTATATTTATTAAGAACATCCTCTGTCCTTACCTTAATTTTTCCTTTGTAAAAGTTGAAACTTGGTATTAAAATTAGGGTATCTAAGTCGTTGCCTAGTAGCATCTACTACACCAATTGACTTTTGTAACATAGTAGCCTCCATGAAATGCCCTAAACCCTAATCCAAGTCTCTGCCAACAAGGTATGTTTGAAGACATGACAAGAACCTATTATCTTCAACTGAAAACCCGTCTGGTCAAATAAATTCAATAAAAAACGAATGAACTACATTCTTACAGGTGTTAAAGAAATCAACTCTTTGATCCAACCCTCTAATGGTATTGGCACACAGTCTATTCAATGGTTGGTTAGATTATTTGGAAAGTCTAGGCACTAATTGAAGTTTGGGAAGACTGCCCCAACTAAGCATGCATTGCAAGAGGAGAATCAATGGTACGACATGTTCATGGTTTGGAAAAGATAATAGAGACCGTTTGACTTGTATTAGACACCAATCATCAATCCCGAAGTTCAATTCTGTAAAGTGACATTGTCATTAGTAAAAGTAACACATGCAACTTATCGGAAAAGACAAATACAAGTGGTGGTATCGATTCACAATAGCATCATACATCAAGTAGATCTATATTTCATGTAAAAATAAATGAATTTCCATTCTTTTACTATATCTTGATCAGAGACTGTCAATATATTTATTGGACTCATAAATCAGTATAGTTATCGTTCCTCTTTGCTTATTTATCAGAAAAAACTAAAATTGAATTAAAATTACTGACCCAAGCACAAGGTTTAGAAAGCTTATACATAAAATACAATAGTCTTGTAACATCTTATAAACGAAAGCATAAGGTGACTTATACATCAATCCGCAACCAAAAACAACAGTAGCAATAAGCATATTATTTTGATGGAAAAAAAGAAAATCGTTGACAGCAGACCGCGCTAAGCGGGTTGATCCCGCTAAGCGGCCCGCCACTTAAAATACACGTGAAACTGCCTTAACCCCGCTAAGCGGGCTGATGCCTCTAAGCGGCCTCATCAACACAACTTCTGTCAAATCTGTCAAAACACTCGTAGCGCGCTACAATTCCCGCTTAGCGCGCCCTCCTGGACAGCATTTCCTAAAAATAAACTTTTATTTTGAAAACGCGCATCCAGAGATGTGCCTTCGACACCTTATTCCTCGATTCTCCAAATATGCAACAAATACCTATGAAAGACATTAAGACTATCAAACTTTACACTGTGTACATAAAAACACAATTATTCACGAAGTAAACGTATTTACACAAAATTAGGGTTTATTCAACGGTTATTAACAACAAAGAGTTGATAAGTGCAACAAAAAGTATATACAAAAATAGCTACAATTTGCACTTATCAATGAATATTTGCTAAGAGAAAGATATACAAATAAATACATATGTCATTGTATTTTTATGAAAAAGGTCTAGAAAATCATTTTCTAAAATAATTGTATATGTGGATGACATAAAATTATTGAAACTCTTGAAGAGATTCCAAAATTTATAAATCTCTTAAAGAAACGGTCTGAGATAAAGGACATAGAAAAGACAAAGTTTTGTCTATATTTACAAATTAAGCATTTGGATAGTAAAATATTTCTACATTAAGAACCTTATATAGAAAAGGTGTTAAAACATTCGTATATGGACAAATATCGTCTATCCCTATGATGTTAGACCATAGGATTTGGATAAGACTCTTTCCGACCTCAAGAAGATGTGGAAAACTACTTGTTTTAGAAGTACCATATCTTAGTGTAATTCAAGAACTGGTGTATCTTGCTAAGTATACATGCCATGATATATCAATTTATATCAATCTATTAGAAATATATATTTCTTCACCTGCACAAAGAAGTTGAAACAAAGTTAGACAACTACTTTGTTACCGTAGAGGTTTATGTTACTTATCTGATCTTTATAATGGTATATCACAAATACGTCACTTGTTTATTTGTGGAGGTACAACAATTTCATGGAGATCTAAGAAACAACTCATGACAACAACTTCATAAAATCCTTCATAACTATTAGCACTACATGAAGTCACTTCCAAGAAGAACTTTTAAACAACTACTACAAAGAATATTGTTTCACATATAAATGTATGCATGAGGGGGAGAAATAAATATGTTATGCACTCTTTTTTCCTTCACCATGATTTTGTCCCACCAGATTTTTTCTAGTAAGACTTTAACGAGGCATATCCAAAACAAACATCCAAGGGAGAGTATTATGAATAATTGGATGATTTGTCTTTCAATAACTGTATTCCTTATTTAATCAATTTGTATTTATTATATTGTCTTTATGATGTCTTATAAATATGATCAATCTCATTGTATACAATTACACCGATCAAATAATACAATATCATTCTATTTTTCTTTCTTTTCCTTATTCCTTATTTCTCTTTATTTTATAATAATTTAATTAATTTGCGGAGAAAAAAACAAAACTATAAAGTAATGGAATTAGTGGCAATAAGTAGTGGGTTAATTGAGAGTTATTTAATTAATTATTATTATTATTTTTTATTTAATTGACATGTAAGTGGGGGTAGAGGACTACTTGGTATATGGTAGTGAGTAAAATTTATTTAATTAATTTGTCTCTTTTCTTAATAGAGAGAGAATAAAAAACATTTATAATTTATGGAGAACGTGGTTTGCTAGTTTTAGCTATTTTTTCATTAATGAATTTTTGAAAGAAAAATTCTAAAATAATAAAATTAAATAAAATAAATAATAACAACTTTAATTAATAAAATTAATTAAAACAAATAATAAATAAATAAATAAATGAGTAAAATGATAAAAGTATTCTTAAAATTTTGACGTCAAAAAAGTATTTAAGAGATTTAACAATTTTAATTAATAAGATTCCTAAAGGATATTTATAGACACATTTATTTAAATTGATCAACTTTATATTATGAACACTCTTTTTTTAACAAACTTTTTATTATTTGTTTTTTTATTGATTGATATACATGTGAATTTTACTACTTTATGTTGGATTCGTTTTCAAAGTGTGAGATCCACATGTATTTCATCTAATAAGAGAATAAGTGTTAAAAGAGAGTGTTCATAACACTTCTCTTATACTATTTATCTGAATCTATTGACCTTTATTTATAGGTATATCTATTAAACTCAAACATTAACAACACACATAATAATTTTAATTTAGTTATTGGATTTTAGTTTTTGAAACAATGAACTATATTTCGTTGTGGAATAAAAAATGGAGAAAATTGTAGAAGATATAATGACGCGACACCGTGAATTGAAGGTTGTGGCCGCGATGCTTCTTGGATTAGAAATGTTTATCTTAAATCCACGTCATTAACCAATGTCGATCTTGAATTGGCGTGCTATCCTCCGATACCTCGGTCAAATGGGAGTGAGTGAAGATTAGATATTGTGTATTTGAAAATCCTTTGCCAAGATATTTATACTTTGTGCTTAATGGAGCAGGTTGAATAAGTGGGTCTCACGTTATTGGGTCTTTGGACAGCGCGAAACATGGTGTCGTTGGGATTTTGGACAACACAAAGTAGTTGCCCCCAAGACTCGTCGGCCGTTCTGGATGTCGGAGAAGTATTTTAGTAGTCGTGGTCGGTCCTTAAGAATGATTGTCCAAGCGTCGATTGACATGCGCTGCTTTGGTTTTGCCAAAGAGTAATGGAGAATGTGAGC